AGTCTGGCACAAAGGAGGTGTATAGTAAGTGATGGCAACCAGGCTAATAATTCTTAATTTTTTTTAATGCCAGAGGGTGCATGCACATGTGAGACAGAGGGTGAGAGAGAAAGCATCTGTCAGTGGAGTCTGGTATGCCACAATCCTTTTCCCTCTAATTCTCCATCCCATGAAGATCCTGAATATGCACATGCATACCCACTGTGTTTTATTTTATTTTTTAGAGAGGTTTTTGCTATAGGGTATGTGTGCTCGCTGGAGACACAGAGACAGAGAGACAGAAAGTAATAAATTACTCCCCCAGGGTGGGTGACCAAGCCATAGTCCCTTCTCCTCTATTCTACTCTTGGGATTTTGGCCTCCATTTTACTCTTGGCATTTTGAGCACACACACATAAGTACCCAACGTGAATTTCAAGTGGTCCGGTCTGGGACTCGAACTGTGGTCAGCCATGTGGAAGTCCGGCACCATAACCAGTATGCCACCTGTTGGCCCCTTACCCAGTGTGTTTTTACAAGCCCCCAGAGCTTGAACTTCAACCCTAGTCAGCCATATGGGATCCAGCTTCTTCTGTGGCATGTTTAACTGCTGAGCTAATGATCAGCCCAGTCTAATAATTCTTATGTCTGGATAAGAGTCATTGAATCCTGAAAGGATCCTGAAATGCAACTTTGGACAAAGAATACAGAAGTCTCATGTGTTGGGCTGTTAGGTTGCAGCATGAATTTGTTATTTGTTGTAATTCTTTGGCTCAAAGAGTCAGCCTGGTTGCTCCACCAGGGACCTCTGTGGCTGCCCACAGAGGCTACTCACAACTTCAGTTATGTGGTTGGCATACACCTCTGATTATTTTCCCTGGAGGGTTCTTGCCAAGATCCTTTTGTATTCCTAAAGTCTGCTTAATAAGGCCAGCAGAGCTAACCCTAAGTCATCTCTCCCTATCCCAACTTGATGGCAGATGGAAGTCAAGATTATTTTCCCGAGCCACATTGTGAGCCACGTGATTCTGGAAATTGTCTCCCTCTCCTAGAGCATGAGTCTAGCTGAGGACATGCCAGGTATGGTTTGCCTTTGTGTGTTCTTTGTGGAAGCCTGAACTTCCACATTCCCTGTCCTGACTTCATTGCAGCCTGAATTGTGGACAGTGGGGTAAAACAGTCAGATTCAGATGACTTTCTTGCCATAGCTCTGGCCTCTGAAGTCCTTGTCCCTTGTGCCTGTCCCAGGTGGACCTCAGAATCTGAGGACCAACTAGTTAGGAAATATTAATCGTTATAGAAAAGGAGTGAAATGTAGATTATGCTCCTGAGAAAGAAGAAATATTTATTTTTGTTCACATGTTCATTTTATATTACACTGCCTACTTTTTTAGAAGTAGAAGAGAATCACCTTTTAAGCATTCAATCTCTGAAGAAGCTACCAGGAAATACTTACCTATTGATGGACACAGCTCTGTCATCCTTAAGCTATTTTAATATTGTGCTTTTGAGCTCCTCAATTCACCAGTGGTCGAGCCTATCCACTCTGAGAAAAAAAAAAAAAAGGTATTTGTTGAGCTGAGATCACAGCCTGTCTTCACCACAGGTAAATTAGAAGTCAGTGTGTTGGTAAGGAAGATGTCATGACTGTCCAAAGCCTCAGTGAATATGAGTAAGCACATCAGCATTTAACAAAAGAAAGGCTATGAAAATCTTAGGACCAGCAGATGGAGTAATAGTTACATTGCTGGACTCCCACGTAGTTGACGGTGGTACAAGTCCTGGATTTAGTGGTTTAAACTCAAAACAGGTGCATGTGCATGCATGCCCAAGATCCTGAGAGGAGAATGGAGGAGAAGGGATTGTACCATAGCCATCCCCTTATGAAGGGGAGGAAGAGATGTGATTTCTTTGGGGTTTGTTTGTTTGTTTTTTGTTTTTGTTTTTCTTCTTTTGCTGGTCCCTACATTTTATTTATTTATTTATTTATTTTACTTTATGTTTTAAAATTTATTTATTTACATTCATTCACTATACATCATTACAGCATACAAATGAGATTTTTCATCCAAAATACACTGTATATTGGCTCAATCAAGCCAATATTGTTATTGTCAACAAATTATTTTCCATTTCTTGTTTCCTGTTTATTTTGGTTTTATTTCCCCATCCTTGATTCCCTATCTCTCACCCTCTGCCATGTCCCACCCTCCTCCCACACTGTGTCTGATATCTGTGGTTGTTTTCTACGTTTTTTTGCCCCCACATTTTATTGATTCACTAAAGATCTTAATTAATCTAAATATTTTGAATAGCAAGCGACAGCTGATATATACATATCCATGAACCCAAGTCTGACTTTAGGCATAAACCTCAGTGAGTAGAATGAACAAACTATAAAGTAGCACCTAGCTGGGGCTATATAGCTTTACTGCACTCATCAAATAGGTATTTTTAATGCATATTTTTAATTTCAAGAAAAACAGTTTTAGTTTTTCTTTTCTGAAACTTTTTTTAAGTTAATTAATTTACATTCATTCCCTAAGCATCATCACAGCATACAAAATGTGATTTCCCATCCAGAATATACTGCATCAGGGCTTAATCATGCATGTTATCATCAATAGTTTTCCATTTCTAGTTTTATATATATATATAT